ACACACACACACACACACACAACATATGTTCTAACACCATGACAATATTTATGTTTCCTGGATAATTAAGGAGATGGGTGTGGGGATAAAAGTTGTATGAAATACAGTTCTTGCCTTTCAAGAGCTTATAAACTGGTGGAAGAAATCAGAGTAGTTCATTAAAGAAAAAAATAAGTGCCAAACTATGTAGCACAAACTATAAGAGCAGGAGAAGCATGGAAAATGAGACAATCCGCGTGGGCCTGAATAATTTGAAAAGGCTTATGGAGATGAGAGAACTTAAAGTGGGCCTTGACAGAGGGCAGGTAGAATCTCAACAGGTATAGGTAAGGAGAGGGTGCAGGGAGGAGAACAGGATGGATAGATACAAATGTGGGGAAAAACACAGCATGTGGAGGCAAGCATCAGTATGGTTTGACTCAGAAGGAAGAGTGCAATCTAACTGGAACAGAGAATTATTTTATCTGACTGAAACAATATCAGACAAAAAGTATGATAAGGAACAGGTTAAGTTGAAAGTCCTGAAACCAAAGTGTGTGGCAGGGTGGGAGGGATACTGTAAATTTTTGAATAGGGAAGTGACTTGAGGAAATCTACCACATTTAGTTAGCCTACTAGGGCTGCAGCCAAGCAGTGGATTACAAACAGGAGAGGCAGGGAAACTAGCTTAGGATGGTGTGAAGTAAAGCAGACAAGATGTTTGTTGGCAGTGAGGTTAGAGATAAACTTCTAAAATAGAGACACAAAGGAACTTGATGATGTAGGGAATGAAGGGGAGGGAAGAGTTCATGATGACTTGAAGCATCCCCAGCCTGAAAAAAACAAGGAAACACTGACAGAACACTACAAATGTCCCTGCTGTTACCTTGTCTGAGAAACTAATTCATGTTAATAATGGCTGTCATCCCAATTAGTTAGCTGAACTGCATTTTAATAGATGCCTTCAATGCCTTGACCTCAAGGAGTGGCAGGGGGTAGAAACTGAAGGGGAGCATCTTTCAACAGCATCCGTCACACTAATACAATGGAGGTGTTTGCTTACTCCGCTTACAATCACGGCCGCCGTTGCAAACTTCACCCTTAGAAAAATTAGGATTATTCCGGGAAAGATACCCATTCACCCTCTGGGTAGCAGGATCTTGCCAGTTCCTCAGCTGTCAGAGCGAGTTCGTGGAGAGAAGGGAGGCGCCTGAAGGAGGCGGCCTCCCTGGGGGGTCGAGGAAGCAGGGTTCAATCGAAGAAGTAAAACCACCGATGCCAGAAGAGTGAAAGACAGGGAAGGGACTCAGCTGAGGGGAGAGAGAGACCAAAGGACCGTTAAGCCCCTCCCAGGCCGGGAACCAGGCCAGCCCGGCCCCGCGCGGCCTGGCGCGGCCCAGCCCCGCTCCCCAGCCTTGAAGCCCAGGAGCTCCCCCTCACCTGCTCGGGCTCATCGGACGACTGGGAAGACGAGGCTCCCACAGTCGGAAGCGCCACTGCAACGCCAACCCGGAAGTATTGGTACCAACGGAAGTAACCAAGTCGTCGCCTCGGCAACGGTGGTACAGCCATCCCAACTCCGCCCCCTCCGAGCCTAAAAGAGAAGGCGCGAAATAGGAGGCGGAAATGACAAGGGTCTTAATGGAGGAGTCGGGCAGGCTGCAGGCGCAAAGGCCCAGACGGGGCAACCTGACTCTAGGGAGGTGCAGGTAGAGGAGGCTAAGACATGAGAAATTTGGCAGCTTCTGCAGCTAACGTGGGTGGAGTGATGTCGGCCCGTCACCGCATCACCACCCACCTCGCGCGTACAAGGACTAGGGAAAGGAAGGGCTGGGTACGAGGGGCGGAGCCAGCAGAGTGAAAGGGCGGAGGGGGGCGCCTTCGAGCAGAGTACCAAAAAGGAGGGAATGTGAGGGGGCGGGGCAAATGCTTAAAACAAAAGTGGGATAATGAGGGAAAGGGAGTGAGCGGTATTTACAGAGGTGCCTGAGCTGTGCGGGGAGTGGGGCGGGGGTGAGGAGTGGGACAGGGTGGGGGCAGAAATAAAGATCAAATAAGCAAATAACCTCAGCACCAGGTCTGAGGTCGCCAGGTGCTCAAAGCACATGGTTGAGAAAGAGCAAGTTAGAAGCAGAAAAGGGACCATAAAAAGTTCAAGATAAAGAAAATGAAGAGTAGAAATACTAACGGGGGAATCCGAGTTAATCCTCACCTCACAATCAGCCAGCAGATGATGAGAGGGCCTGGTGATCAGCTTCGGGCTCTAGCCCCACCCCAGGAGCCAGAAGGAATAACTTCAAAGCACCATAGATAATTACGTTAACCAATGGGCTATGTTTTTAAGCCTCTCGCGTGAAGGTCCCGTAATCACGCAAGAATACAAAATACTATGGTTTAGACGTTGAGTATAAGTAAAAGTAAGTCAATGCAAGGCCTGTGGCCCTAAATAATTATTTGTTAAATGAATAAATTTTGGGAATACCTTTGTTCCAAAAGGATGTGCGCACAACTACCCTATGAGACAGTTGCTATTATTTCCCCCTTTTGATAGCTGAGAAAACTGAGGTCTTAAGAAGTTAAGACCTCAAATTCAGTTCTGACTTCAGAGCCCAGGCTCTTAACCACTGCTATACTGCTTTCAACTTTAATAATACCCTTGTTACCTTCAGAAACTCCTTACTAAATATAGAGATAATGTGAGAAACCCGTACATGCATTCCAAAATGCGAATACCCTTAAATTTACGTCTCAGCAAAGTACTCCCTTTCAGCCACACTAAGGGGGTTGTAGCTTAGAGTTTTTCTTATTTGGAAGGACTATACTCTCTCCAGTGACATGAATTGTATGTCCAGCTGTGGCTGTGGCCTGGGCCTGTCCCTCACATCCAGATTGCTCAACCTTATAGAATTTTGGCTCACTTTGTGACCAAATCACTATCTTAGCTTTTCTACGAGACTGCACTGCACTTTTGTCTCTTCAGCCACTGCCACTACCAGCTAATCTCACCAACCACCTAGGTAAATTTTGTTAAAAAGGAGCACTGTTTTCAAATGACTTATTTTAAAAGATCTACAATAGATGAATTTAAAAATAGCATTATAAACACATAGCACACTTTTATTTAACACATTTGCAGTTTGCTTAGTTTGTTTCCAACATTATCGCCTTCTGTTTGTAGTCTCTACCACACAGACCCATATTTGATTATACTCTGTCTTGTGTTATGCTCAAATTCTGATCTCTCCAAGAGATAAGCTCTTCAAGAGAATAGAATCCTTGAATCTTCAAGTTGGAAGGAGATTTAGCGGTCCCTTCTACAATATTCATTATAGACAGTTGTCCGGTCCCTGCTAGAATGCTTCCAGTGTAAGTATAGATGACAAGTCAGCCCATTACACTATTTGACAACTCTGAAAACTCTCACTTATGTTGAATCAAAACATGCTTTCATCTTTCTACTCTCCCAAGAGAAACATTTGGTCTTAAAAAATGAAAAGAGAATTTTATTTGGAGTCAGAAGACCTTTTTTTATTAATTGAGGTGAAGTTCACATCACTAATACAATATTATGTCAATTATATCGCAATAAAACTGGGGAAAAAACAAATTAAATTGAGAACATTTTTATTTTCATTAAAAGACATGATTAAGAGAGTGAAAAGGCAAGCTCCAGGCTGGGAGAAGAGATTTTTAATCATGTATCCCACAACATCTCATATCCAGTATAAATAACTCCTAAACTCAGTGACCAAAAGACAGGCAACTCATTTTTTTAATCGGAAAAATACTTGAAAGACACTTCATAAAAGAGTCGATCCAAATGACCAATAAGCATATGAAAAAGTGCTGAACATTATTAGTCATCTAGAAAATTAAAATTAAAATCATACTGCACACCCACCAGCATGGCCGAAGTTAAAAGGATTGTCAAAACAAGAGGTTTGGTGGAAAGCATTTCAAATTCTCAGACACTGCTGGTGGGAGGACCTATTAGTTCTCTATTGCTGTGTTAAAAAAAAATTGCCACAAATTTAGTGGCTTAAAACATCACACATTTACTGTCTCTTAGTTTCTGCAGGTCAGGAGTTCCAGGCGTGACTTGGCTGGGTCCTCGGGCTCTGAGTCTCACAAGATTGCAATCAATGTGTCAGCCAGACTGTGTTTTTATTTCGAGACTTAACTGGGGAAGAATTCACTTCCACGCTCACTCAGGTTGTTGCAGAATTCACTTCTATGCAGCTGTACCACAAGGGCTTCAGTTTCTTGCTGACTGTTGGCCAGAGGCCACTCTCAGCCCCTGAAGCAGTCCCCAGTTTCCCACAATGTGGCCCTCTCCATAGGCAGTTCACAGTACGGCCACTTCCTTCTTCCAGGCCAGCAGTAGACAAGATCCTAAGATGTGGTTTTATCCACG